ATGTATCAAAGTTTCCTTATCTGTTTTGGTGAACATTTACTTAGGTTGTCTTTTTTCTTGCAACTTTGAACAGTTGTTCCTCAATAAACACGGATGTGCCTATGTTTGTTAGTCCTGTGGATCTTTACTCTTTCAGGTGTGTATCCAACAAGCGTATAACTGGATCATATGGATTTTCTCATCACAGTTGTTTGAGATAATGCATTATCACTTTCCACAGAGGTTGTGCATATTAACAGTCCCACCAGTAGTGTCAGAGGGCTCCAATCTCTGGACTCCAATCTCTGCACCCTCTCCAGCATTTGTTTTTTAGTGTGTTGTTTTTTTTTCTCATTTGACTCATATTGTCTGTGATATCACATAGTTGCTTTGATTTGCATCTCCCGGATGACAAACGATCATGACCGTTTGTGATTTTGGTGTTTGTTAGTCATTTGAATATCATCTTTGGTGAACTCTCTATTATGTCCTTTGCTCAATTTTACACTGAATTATCCATCTTTCTCTTATTGAGATGTTGCAGTTTTCTATAGGTTTTAGAGATTAGTTCCTACTCTGTTGTGTCTGCCAAAAAGATTTTTCTAGTCTGGTTTCTCTTTTGACTTGATGAAATCTTCTGATGTACACAAAACATCTTATTTTCAGTAGGTTTCAATTATCTAAGTTACCTTCTACTGTGTCTGTTTACTTTGTTATAGTTCATAGTTTACCTGTAGTAGAACCCTTAGGTTTGTTCCTGTTTTCTTGTTGGTGATCTTGCTTTGGTACCAGAGTAACTGCTAGCCTCATAGAATGAGATATTTGAGTTGGTCACAGCGACTTACAACAAAGTGGTCGGAATGGCACCCTATAGTAAATTGGGATCTGGCTATATATGCAGTTCATTTACCTGTGCCTCACTAACTATGGAACAAATAAACATCATGTATGAATTGGTCTCTCCATCCCCCTCAACTAATTTCATCACTACTTCTCTTCTTTCCATGATTTCTGCATGGTTCATGCTCTTTAGGTATAATAGTTAGCTCTTGTATTTAATCCCACCTCTTGCAGTTATCTCATTCTTTACCTGCTATTTTCACCACTTTCTGGGAAAGTAGGCAAGTGTTGACATGGTCTTGCAACCTAGTGGCACTGTTTTTCTTACCAGTTGCTTCTCATCTATCTTGGTTAACACTTTGTCCACAGTGTTGAGAAGCACATGCCTCATGTGTTCATGTTTCCTGATGATTGATGCAACATGGTTATACCAGTTCTTCAGATCTTCAAATGAGTAGGAATTTTAATTTTTGAAATCTTTACATTGAGTTCTTTTTTAAAAAAAATCATTTTATTGGGGGCTCTTATAGCTCATAACAATCCATACATCAATTGTATCAAGCATATTTGTACATATGTTCCCATCATCATTTCTGAAACATTTCTTTTTACTTGAGTCCTTGGTATCAGCTCTTCCCTCTCCCACCCTCGTGAACCCTTGATAATTTATAAATTATTTAAATTTTCATATACCATCCACTGTCTTCCTTCGCCCATGTTTCTGTTTGACCCTGGGATAGGGATGGGGGAGGGGAGAGGTTATACATTGATCATTGCCATCTGGTTCCCCCCTTCCTCCCCCACCTTCCCCCTATCCTCATGGTATCGCTACTCTCATCATAGGACCTGAGAGGTTTATCTGTCCTGAATTCTGTGTGTCAAGAGCTCTTATCTGAACCAGTGTACATACATGCTCTGGTCTAGCTGGATCTGTAAGATAGAACTGGGGTCATGATAGTGGGGAATGGAAGAAGTATTAAAGAACTAGAGGAATGTTGTTTATTTCATCAGTGCAATACTGCACCCTGGCTGGTTCATCCTATTTTTGTGACCCTTCTGTGAGGGGATGTCCAGTTGTTTAAAGAAAGGTTTTAGGTCTCCATTCCAAGCCCCCTCATTTGCATTGAAATGGTGGTTTGTTTTGGGTCTTCTGATGCCTGATACCTGACCTCATGATCATATGGGTTGGTGTGCTTCTTTCATGTGGGCTTTGTTGCTTCACCACTAGATGGCTCTTTGTTTAACTTAAACCCTTTAAGACCCCAGATGTTATATCTTTTAATAGCCAGGCACCATCAGGTCCCTTCACCACATTAGCTTATGCACCCACTTTGTCTTCAGCTATCTTGTTGGGAAGGTGAGCATCACAGAATGCTAACATTGAGTTCTTTTTAGATCCTTTTAACTCTTTTACATCCACATTCAGAAAACTTGTTTCTTAGAGAAGTCATAGGCCCCCATTGGGCTTGGTTGCTTGCTTTAAGACCAATGAGTGACAGAGTCATTTCTCTTGCGTTCTATTGGTTTCCAAGACCAACCTTGGAGCAATGTGGGAGGGAATCACTCAAGATGTGTGGATACCAGGAGCTGGAGTTCAGTTACGATTAGCTATAACATTTAAGAAACAATGGGAAGGAGAGGACAACATTTCTTTTTCTATAACACCTTTCATCTTTATGTTCAGGAGATCTCAATAATTATATCAATAAACCTTCTTTGCTTCTCTTTATATCCCTGGTCCTCCTTTTCATCCTATCAACTAAAACTAGTTGTCTTCCATGGTATAGCATAAATTCCCAAGATCTAAAGAATTTCCACAGCAGTTTCCTAAATTTGTCATTGGATTAGTGCTTCTCTTGAGATGTGTTATACAGAGATTTTATAGTTTCGTTATTTTGGGGAACCTTCAAAGTGTGTGAGATAAGCTTCACTGTCCTTGTCTCTAAGGAGTATTCAGATTCTACTTCTTCAAGGCAACCTGGTGGTTCTTTTGGCAGTCCTTGGTACTTTCAGTATTCTTCACCAGCACCATATTGAAAAGCATAGATTCTTGCTTGGTCTTCCTTATTCATTGTCCAACCTTCACATGCTTTTGAGCCAATTGAAAATACCATGGCTTGCTTGGGTCAGGCTTGTCTTTAATCCTAAAAGTAACTTCCTTGCTTTTCTTTTTTTTTTTCCTTTTTGTAATTTAATTTTTTTTTCACTTCCTTGCTTTCCAACCCTTTAAAAAGGTCTTGGCCAGCAGATTTGCCCAAGTAATGTGTTGTTAAATTCTTGAATGCTGCTTCTATGAGCTCTGTTGTGGATCCAAACAAGATAAAATCCTTCGCAACTTTACTTTTATCTCCATGCTGTTGGTTCATTTGTGAGGATTTTTGTTTTCTTTACATTGAGTTGTAATCCATTCTGAAGACTGTAATCCTTGATCTTCATCAGCCAGTACTTCAAATACTTGAAGCAAGCAAGACTGTCATCTGCATATATCACAGGTTGTTAATAAGACTTCTTCCTATCCTGATGCCACATCTTCATATAATGAAGCTTTGCTATTATTTTCTCATTAAAGACCATTAGAGGAAAATAATAGGAGAACTCTTTTCCTTAAAAACACACACAAAAAAAACCCTGAAAAACAGAAACCGTCTGGGACTAGAAATACAAGGGAGTATCCTCCTAAGAAACAGGAAAAAGCTCTGCTGGGTTGAGCTTTCATAGTACCCATTTTTCTTGCTAGGTGAGCTTCCAGCAACTGACTCTGGGTTAGTGCATACAGTGGCATTGCCTGGGAAGGTTCTCTCCGGTCACAGTGAATTTTTCATAAAAGCAGTTTCTCTCGAACCTCGTTTTTTATGATGGTTGAAATCCTGTTTCCTGCTTGGGAAAAATGCCGCAGAAACTGATGTTGAACACAGCTTACAAGGACAGCGCTATGGGGAAAATTGAATTGTACAAATGGTTTTCTTGCTTCAAAAAGTGAAATGTTGATTGATGACAAACCTCGTTCTGGACATCTGCTAACTTCTTGAATCATGAAAATGTCAATAAAATTCGTGCACTTGTGCTCAAAGACCAGCGTCGGACCATTGAAGAGATGGGGAGGTGATCTGGACTATCTTGGAGCTTGGTTTAGCGAATTTAATAGAAGATTCGGGAATGAGAAGGGTTGCTGGGAAATGTGTGCCTCAGGTTCTGACTGAGCAGGAAAAAAGGGCGTCACCTGTAAAACATGCTGTACTTTGAAGCGACCCAGACTTTTTTCCAAGATCATTGCTGGTGATAAGACATGTTGCTATTCTTAGGATCCCCAAACCAAATGTGATTCAAGCCAGTGGTAGATGCCATTGTCACCTCACCCCCCAAAACTCAAGTGAAATCAAAGATCAAGACGATGCTCATTTGTTTTTCTGAAGTGAAGGGGATCGTGCATTTGGAATTTGTTCCACCAGGTCAGACTGTTAATCAAGCTTCCTGTTAAGAGGTTCTGCAAAGATTGCGTAACAGTGTACAAACAAAAAGACCTGATGGATGGCAGAAGGGGGACTGGTTTTGCCACCACCACAATGCACCTGCTCACACAGTCATCTCAGTGCACCACTTTTTGCGCAAAAAATAGCATGCCTCTCTTGCCCCACAGACCTTACTCACCTGACCTCACTTTATGCGACTTTTTTGTTTCTGCAAATGAAGAGGGACATGAAAGGACAACAATTTGACTATGTAGAAGAGGTGAAGAAAACATTAGGGAGGGGCTGTCATCCATCCAAACAGAAGAGTTTGAAACATGTTTCCAAGAATGGAATCGCAGATTTGACAAATGTATTTATTAAGGGTAATGGAGAGTACTTTGAAGGTGACAAGGTTGTTTTGTAAAAAAATATATATATATAACTTTGAAAAATACCTGTTTTGGGAGGAGCACCCATGTATATATGTGGTCAGACAAATATATATGTGGTCTGAAGGAATGGGTGTTAAGTGACTCATTTAGAGTGTTTAGAAATAGTTTAACATTTGACATTACATTTTAAGACAGAACATGAAAATTTTGAATATGAAGCATGAAGAAGTAGGCATGAATAGTTAGATAAAATTTTATTGGAGGATTTTACACTGTTCAGTGGGATATTACATTGTAAAAAAAAATTAAGTACAAATTGCTATTTGATATTCTTTTCTAGAAACGACTACAGAAAGAGCTGTTGGCTTTGCAAAATGATCCACCTCCTGGGATGACATTAAATGAAAAGAGTGTTCAAAATTCAATCACACAGTAAGCATTACATTTTTAAAAGTTCTTATTTTTGTTTATTTTTTTAACCAAAGTGATGTATGAATATATTACCTTCATTTGAAATAGGGAAATGTTTGTCAGGCTAGTAGTCAAAAGGCATCACTTACATTTATCACCTATAGTCCTGTGTGTAAGTAAAAAAAAATGTGTATAGTCATGATTACCCTAAGAAGACTATTGGAATGTACCTTGCCTTAATAAATTAAGCAAAAACAAAACAAGCATTTTCCTCCAGCGGAAAGCAGATGGCCGCTTTGGTGATTAGGAGACATTATGTGTGGAAAGTACTTGTGTCAATGGGAGAATCATAGAGGTAGTAGATAATTATAAGAATTAGGGTGGTGATAGATAATGACAAGAATTAGGGTGGAGGAGCACTAGACCTGATTGTGATGATGTATATACAACTCATTTTAAAAGTAATTTAACATTGAAAGTGTATGATACGTGAATACTATGTCAAGAAAATTGCTAAAAGGAAAAAAAACAAAAAACAACGAAACCAAACTTGGCCTACGGTTACAGTGGGTGAAGGAGAAGGAGAAAGTTGTTACTTAGGGGGTATTGATTTTATGTTAATGATGGTGGAATAATATGGAAAAGGTTGTACAATAATGGTTGTACAAAATGAAGGGTATAATCAATGGCACTGAATTATACATGTAGAAGTTGTTGAATTGGAGAATGCTTTGTTAGGTATATTTTTGCCAGTTAGAAAACAAATAATTACATGAATAGCAATGAGTACAAAGCAGAAGAAAATGTTCTAGAATTGAATGTGGTGGTACTTATACCACTCTTCTTACTATGATAGAATTATTGAATTGTATGACATGTGATAAAGTGATAATAAAGCTGTTAAAAAAGAATTATGAACTGAGAGAGACTGAGATTACAGCATATTCACTTCTCCCAACTCATCCTTACTCTGGGACCTACCTGCAAGAGGGCTTCAAAAATTTTTGTGGAGAATGGAATGTAAAGATCAGGGATTTTTCTATGAACTTTCTGAAGCCCATTAAATTCTCAACTACAGTATTAGAATCATAGACAGTACTGGTTTGAATGTGTTTTTTAAATGTGCACACATGCAGCCCTATTGGACTTCTAGTTTATGTGCCCATAAACCATATTTTCAAAATGTGTTTAGTGACTCACACCAAAAAATCCACTGCCATCAAATTGATTCTGACTTACATTGACTCTATGGGGCAATTCTGTGGTTTGCTTGCTTGCTTGCTTGCTTTCCTTCCTCTCCTTTCTCCTTCCCTATGGTTTCTAAGACTAACTTAAATCTTCCCTGGAGGAGTAAGGCTCATCTTTTTTGGATGGAGCGACTGGTGAGTTTGAGCCTGAGTTTGAGCCGCTGACCCTTACACTTAGCAGCCCAATGTGAAACCGTTTACTCCTGGAGGCCTCAACTACTAGGAAGTATGTAACCCTCCCCACCTCCAAACAACAGCAACCTTTAACAGTAGTTTTTATTTGTACTTTAAAATAGTTCTCTACAATGGGTATGTTAATTTTTAATTAGTAGGAGGTTGTGCGAAGAGTAAAGAGATGCTTGCTTAGCTATTATTTTAAAGCTATGCCTGCATAGATAAGCCACACTTCAAAACTTTATGCTGCATTTTGTGTCCTAAATGATATCTTTTAAATGGAACTATAAAGATGTCCTTATGTTTTCCCTGAATGATATAATTCAGGGAAGAAAATAAAAGGAATTTTTGGAGGCCTTAAAGGGTGCTTTTTAAAAGAGAATCAGATGAGTTGTTTGTTTGGTTTGATTTTTCAAATGCAGTTTTAGCATCCTATGAAGAGTCTAGAAAAGGCTCACAAAATTTTTTCATTATCTTGTGGTTTTGTGTAGTTTTTTTGTTTTGTTTTACTTGTCACATTTTAATATTTCGGTACTGGAAAAATATTTTCAGAACAAAGATTAACAGCACTACATTATAGGCAGTTACACCTGGAGAGTTATGTGCTATGTGCGCAAACATCTTTTTCTTTTATGAACTCATGATTGAAGATATTTTAAAAAGACAAAACATGATGAACATGATGTTTCTAATGATAGAGCATTAGGAAAATAACTGTGCTTTGCAGGTTTCAGGTAGTAAAACCAAGAATTTATCATTAACAATTGCACAGCATGCCCCAGAGCACTTGTTTTCAACATGTTTTCAATAAAGGTACCATTAAAATATTTCTGAGAGCCTTAAAAATATGCCCCCAAATGATTAAACAGTTGGACAGTGATTTGGTATAGAAAGTCAGTTTTAAAATACATGAATTTTAAAAAAAATCAATTTATTGGGGCTCATACAATTCATCACAATACATAGATCAATTGTGTAAAGCACATCTATACATTTGTTGCCCTCATTATTCCCAAATTCGCTAACCTCTTGGGTTCCTGGAAAAAATATATGAATTTCATTTAACTTTTTATTCTGACTGGACTGGAGTGACTGCTTTTTTCATTTTACTGGAGCTCCACAGATATTATAACAACCCATAGTTCATTTAGAGCAAGCATGATTGTACAATTGTTGCCACCATCATTTTAAACACATTTTCTTTCTTGCACTATTTGGTATCTGCTCCCCTTTAACTTTGCCCTCCCCTAAGAGCCCTTGTTATTATATTTATTATTATTACTATTTTCATTCCTCATCCCCCCCAATATGGAGTGACTGTTCTCATTCTCAAATAGATTCTGCTCTATTACTACATTCAATTAGTGCCATACAGTCTTTAAAAAACTTTTTAAAATTATAAATTGGAAAAAAATTATAAATTGGATGCAGATGTTAGGGGAAAACTCTGTTTAATACTATTTTCCATAAACATTTTGAAACCCCTCATATTTAATTTACTGTCTACTGGTTTTCATGTCATGAATGTGCTAGATCTTTTATATGTGTAACGGCATTAGTCTTCCTAAGAGCACTATGAATATCTGTAAATTGCAATTGAGGCAGTTAAAACTGGTGGGGGCAAACAGCTGACTCTGGGTCAGGTATTCATTTTCGCTAAAAAGTAATTCCTTTTGGGTTTTTCTTCATATCTTTTTACCATTGATGGCACTTAACATTCAATCGGAAACAATTAGCCTTACTCTTAATAGTCTATGGGCTTTAGCTCATAGCTTTCAAGGAACAGATACATTTATTATTCCACATGCTTAGTATATGGATGGGGTGATGAACTGAATCCTCAAGAGTGAAGTCTCTCCTTGTTTTCCTCTGTACTTAGAGTCATTAAAATATACATGCAAAATGTGCGGTTGCAAGAATAGTGATTCTAATTGGCAGCTCTAATTAGAAACTCACTCATTAGTTCACTTTTGTTTTCAAAAGTTGCCCCTGCCAACTTTGCCATGATTGACTTTCTCCTCCCCTCTTCCCACCTTTTAAAGATAGTGTACAGATTATAAATATAGACCTGTATTTGTGATTGTTACCTATGGAAACTGTGCAAGCTTGCAGAGATGCCAAGAAATCTATTTTGGGCTTTTAAAAATAATTTAAACATAAATTGAAAAGGGGTACAGAGCCCCGAGTAGCTCTCACACAGCTTAACTTCCTATTTCTGGTCCCTTTTTTTCCTAAACTACTGATAAAAGAATAGATCCGACAGTTACAGTTCCACAGCCCTTGTTAACACTTACTTCTGGAATAATTGATATCTGAAAGGAATTTATTAATTTGGTGTTATCTACTTTTTTCCTTTCTTGTTTTGTACAGATAGTCTTGAAAAAACAGGTTCACATTGTTATTCTACAATCCCCAGGTTACAAACAAGTCTTCTTCCTATGTGTGTCTTTAAGATTTTAAGCCAGATTTGTAGATATTTTAGAAGAGGTCCACAGTATTCATAGTTAATACTACATTGGTGAAAGGTGGATTTTGACTAGTGGGTTACAAGTTGGACTGCTGACCATAAAAGGTCAGCATTTTCAAACCCACCAGCTGTGCCTCAGGAGAAAGATGAGTCTCTGGAAAACAAAAGGGCAGTTCTACTCTATAAGAAGCCCTGGTGGGGTAAATGCTGGACTGCTAATGTCAGGTCAGTTGTTCAATGCCCCGGTACTCCAAGTGGGAAAGATAAGGCTCTTGATTCCCATAAAGACTTACAAAGCCTCAGAAATCCCATGGAGACTCCTTATGGGTATGAAATCTATTTGATAGCAGTGGGACTTTAGCATCAGAAAAAGCTCACAGCCTTTTTAGTGATTAAAAAGATTCTCAAGCAGCAAGTGAAAGGTGATTGTGATGAAAATTTTCCTACAAATAGGGGGTTTGTTTCAGTCATTGGAAAATTCTATCAAATTTACGACACATTGAAGAGTAAGTATGAGTGTTTAAGTATTCATTACCTGAGAACTGCCTGTACCAGTTAAGAACGCAAAGAATTGAAAGAAGCAACACAAACAGAAATTTCTAGACCAGGTAGTGTTCATTCTAACACTACTAAAAGTAGCCAAAAGTTGAAAACCAACAAATATCTATCAACAGATGAATGCATTTAAAAAATGTGATGGGATAGTAGCCAAAAAAGAGAAATGAAACCTTGTTATCTGCTACAATGTAGATGAACCTTGAACATATTTTGAGTGAATTCAGTCACAGGAGAAATAATATATGAGCATACCTATATGAAATATCTAGAATAGACAAATGTATAGAAACTACAGTTTATTAGTGGTCCTTGAGGGTTGGAAAGTGAGCCCTGGCCGCACTGGGCTGCTAACTGCAAGGTGATCAGTTCAAAACCATCAGCTGCTTTGCAAGAGAAAAATGAGGCTTTCCACTCCCTTAAGATTTAGCCTTGGAAACCTGCAGTGGCAGTTCTGCTCTATCCCCTAGGGCCGCTGTGAGTTGGAACTGGCTCAATAGCAGTGAGTTTAAGGGATTGGGAAGGAACTCGTGGTGCACTTGACTCTTTACTGAAGCCAGTCAATAGTTCAAACTCACCCTGTGGCTCCCATAAGAAAATATCTGTCAGGGTTTCAGTCTAGGAAACCATATGGGTCAGTTCTATTCTGTCTTACATCTCTATTAGTTGAAACCAACTAAGTGTTGTTATTGAACACAACAACAACAGGGGGAGGGGAAGTGAATCATTGCTCAGGGGCCACTGAGTTAGGTAGTCTTGGTGCAATAATTTGAAAATGGCTGGGGGTGGTGACTGCGCATATTGAGTATAATCAATGTCATTGAGTTTTGTATGTGAATGATGTTGAATTGGCAAGTACTGTATCTATTTTTACCTTAATTTAAAAAACATAAATGAGAAGTTCACAGTCTTTGGAGCATGCATTAAGTTTGGGTTTTGGTTTTGGTTTTGCTTTATTTCAGACCTAGATTAACATTTAGATTTACTCCTTGCCAGCTGTCAGTCCTTAATGCAGTTATTTAACTATGGAGTGTAAGAGGAAGAGGGTGGGTATTAATGCCCACCTATTATGGAAATGTGCTGTTAAATATGAATGATTCCTGCCCCAATAATTGGAATAGTGGAAGACTCATTATTCCCTAGCCACTTGTAATGTTAAGTTTTTATTTATTTATTTTTGTTTCCTAGGTGGATTGTAGACATGGAAGGTGCACCAGGTACCTTATATGAAGGAGAAAAATTTCAACTTTTATTTAAATTTAGTAGTCGATATCCTTTTGACTCTCCTCAGGTAATTATCTTGTTCATTAACTTATTGTACTTACAGATTATAGCAAAATGCTAAATTACTAATGTTGACTAAGTTAAAAACTTACAAAAAATTTATTGTAAGTATGTAGATGGATTTGTTCCTTCATAATTTTTACTGCAATATAAATCAAGGTTTAGAAACACTGCAATTTTGGAGATCAAGGCTTTGCTGTCGTTATGCTTCCAAGAAGCATTTAAAAGCGTTTCATACAGTTTGAAAGGAGAATGGGAATCTACGCCTGTAGGTTGTGGGGACATTTGCATTTTGGATTAGCAGGAGGTAGCTCTTCCTAGGTAAGGCAATAATATTATGACACGGCAAAGAGGCGTATGTTCTGCTGAAAGTTATTTGATTTTTTATTTACATGCTATCTTTGCAGTCTTTTAGTTTAGCAAGGACTCAGTGTGCATTACAAGATGTCAGCCAGAAATTTGATAATTATAATATGAGGCTCAGTCAAATTAGTTAATGACTTAATACTTGGACAAGGGGTAATGATGTGTTAGGGGAGCAATCTTGAGTCCTACTTAACTATGGTAAATTATTAAACTTTGGGGATTAGTGGAAGGGAGAATTAGGATGACTTCTAGGCATCTGGCTTGATGATATGGTAGATGAATTACTAGAGGTACTTTTTGGTCAGAGTATTATTGCAAAGTACAATTGACCCTTGAGCCACACGGGTTTGAACCACATAAGTCCACTTAAATGCTGATTTTGAAAAAATCTTGTGACCCTGATCATCTCTGTGAGCAGTTCATCTCTAGTAAATTGCATATTGCAATACAAAGTGATTTCTCATGGTTCTTTCACTTTTATCGTGTTTAGTGCAATACCATAAACTTTGAATAACACCTTGGGACTCGTATGAAATAACAAAGTGATGCTGGCAGTCCTGACACTACATGGAAAAATTGAATTGCTTGATACGTATCTTAGGTTGAGGTTTTCAGCTGTGGGTGCCTGCTGTTTCAAGATAAGTAAGTCCAGTGTCAGGACAGTTTACACAATGAGCCGGAAGCCATTACTGCAGCTCCACCAGCAGGCGAGGAAACTGTGCTTTTGGGGACATAACTTTTTACCTTTACTGAAAATGCAGTCTTTATGTGGGTGCAATATATAATATATGAAGAAACTTCGTATGATTTGTTGAAATTTTAAATTCTTTTTCACTTCATTTACACAAAACATTTGAACCTCCTTGTATAACATACAAAAATATGTTAATTGTTATAATGCTCCCAATCAATAATAAGCTATTAGTAACTAAGTTTTGAGGGAGTCAGCAAATACACAAGGATTTTTGAAGGCATGGGGGTGGTTTGTGCCCCTGCACCCCTGGTCCCTGGTGGTGGTTAAGGGACAAGTGCGCTTTGATTTTAGAATTTGAGGCTTTTGAGTTCTGTTGGCCAACATGATAAAGCTTTTAAGGCTTATGTACTAATATTGCTAGGTAATGGGATGTTTTACATAGGAAATTTTCCAAATAATGAAATTCAGTATGTTAAATGCTAAATAAAGTTTGCTATTTTGAGGAAAATCATATTTCATTTCCACCTTGAACAGAAATACCAGTTTTTACTTGACTGTAGGAACATAAGTAAAAGTCAATATTGCATTGTACTATAGATATGCAGAGATATTTTTTTAAAGCATAGGAGTAAATGGATACTGTCTGGGTTCTCTAGAGAAACCGAACTAAATTGGGTATGAGGATTGATATTTATGTATACATATGTGGGTGAGGCCTACCTACATCATTCAAGGGTACTCTCTTTTTTTTAAAGTGTGCTCACTTCAAATGTTAATCAGATCTATAAAAATACCTATACCGCAACACCTAAACTAGTGTCTAGCCAAGCAATTGGGCACCATGACATAGCCAAGTGGACACATAGACTTTACCATCCCTGAACTCCTTAAGTTGTAAAATGTGAGCAGAAAATTGCTAAGATTTTGAGAGTTCATGTATTTTTATTAACTTTGCTATTTCTCTGTAATTAGCTTCCATGTACTGTAATGAAAACTAAAACTGCTATTTTCTCCTGTCTAGAAAATTAACTTCATTTTCCTTACTTGCCCTCTTCTCGCATCATTTTTGACTATTAATTGTGAAAGCATCACAAAGGGTGCTCAGCATCCCTTTGGTACCCTCAAACTTTTCTCTGGACTTTGTCTTTACTCTATTAAGTTTGAGCATTTGCCATTCTTTGTCATTTTCTGTTTTTTCTTCTTCTCTTTGCTCTTCTGATTGTGATTATCAGGTTCTTTATCCATCTCTCTCTGTCTTTTCACTATTCTCCCCACCAGCTTCAACCATTTTAAACCTCTAGCTCCCAGGTCTACAACTGGGTGTACAACCTTTTCTTTCTGGGATTGAATTTGGCACCCCTTTTGGAAACTCAAGGGACTCAGTTGGTGCAGTGGTTAAGCACTTGTCTGCTAACTGAAAGGTTGGGGGTGCAAACCCACCAAGCACTGGAAAGAAGAAAGGTGAAGCGGTCTGCTCCTGTGAGATTACAGTGTTGGAAACCCTAGAGGGCAGTTCTACTCTGTCCTATACAGATTCTATGAGTCAGAGCCAGCTCAATGGCAATGGTTTGGTTTTATTGGAAGCTCTATTTTAATACCTAAAAGCATGTCAAATTTAATACATCTAAACTCTGTCTTCATAACAAGATTAAAACAAATCTGTGTTCCTTTCTCTTGAGTTACTGTCTATTGCTCATCTTAAATTCTTCCCTTTCCCCCACTCTTATATAGACATAACTTGGAGATACTGAAGTTTGGGATCCAGATCCCCTCAATAGAGCAAATGTTAGAACAAAGCAAGGCATACAATTATTTTTTATTTCTATAAATAATTTTGGGGGGAGCTAATACAGATATATCATTCCTTAGGTCAATCACATCAAGCAGTTTTGTGCAATTGCTCCTACAATCAGTTTTATACAGTTTTTTTCCCCAATGCATTTCAAAGTTATGCTTACACTCTGGTAGACAAATACTGTATTATGTTAAGTGTGCGATAGCAGTATGAAAAATTTGAAATCTTTTGAGAATTACCAAAACACTAGGGGCACAAAGTGAGCACATACAGTTGGAAAAGTGATAGCAATAGACTAACTTGACAAAGGCTAGCCACAAATGTTCATTTTGTAAAACACTAATATCAGCATAATGCAGTCAAACCAAGGGTACCCTTCCCTGATTTTCCACATGCTCTTATAATGCCAATTAAATCATTCTGCTCAGTATCAGTGCTTGTGCAGTTCAGGGAGACCAGATTGTTTATTGCCATAATCCAAGGGAGGGAGGGAGGGAGAGAGGGAGGGTGTGTGTGTAGATTACAGAGGTAGTCATATTCAGGCCTTTTGCTAAAGAATTGAATGAGGAATATGAATGAAGAAGAGAATCAAGAGTTCATAGTTTTTGGCTTAAGCAACTATAAGGGGACAGTACATTTAAGTATGAATTAAATGCTTAAGGAGCAAATGAGAAATCAGTTATTGCCAACTCATAGTGACCCTATAGCACAGTCTAGTAGAGCAGACTGTTAGATGAAATTAGGGCAAAGAAAAGCCTACTGGAACTGGGCCGTAAAGGACAAAACTGAAAAATAGGGCACGGCATGAAAAGATATGGCCTTTCTGAGATTTGTGTCCATATGCTGTAGTTGGTTCAGTGTAGTTACATGGAGACTATTGCAGGAGGTGAAAATGGAAGGAATTTGGGTAGGGAGCCTAGTCTCCCTGCTCTTTCTTGTAGTGGTCAAGTTTATGAAAGTCTTGATTAGCAAATTTTACTGCCTTAATTATTTAGCATCTAAGACATCTGTCAAGGAAACAGTAATCTGAGAACCCAATTAATTGGGGCCATAGTTAGTAAGGGAGACAAGAAATTAAAACTGGTAGGGCTAGAACACAAGATGTAGGAGAGAAAACAGTTACTGCCCTAGGGAATTTGCCCCACATTCATTACATCATATCCAGGAATTTTTTTGCATACTAGTGCTAATTATGAAGAACCAGGGAAAACCTAATATTGATGATATTGATATATACTAGAAGACTTTAGGGGAGGTTGACATTGAAAACTATGCTAAAATATTAACCCCCAGATACATTTATTGATTATTTATGCTAGGCTATACGATATATCAGGAGTGGTTATGCATTGGACGGCTCCCTGCAAGGTTAGCAGTTCAAAGCCCTTAGTGGCTTCATGGAAGAAAGATGAGGCTTTCTTCTACTGTAAAGAGTTACAGCCTTGGAAACGCATAGGGGCAGCTCTACCCTGTTCTATAGGGTTTCTGAGTGATTGATTCAATGGCAATGAGTTTGGTTTTATATTATATATCAAATATAATTAAATATCTGATTTCTATTACAGTAATGTGTGTTCATTTTTGTTGTTGTTCACCCTGTAATATTTAATTTTTTATTAGAAAAAAAATTTGCTCATGAGTACTGTATTTTTCCCCATGTAAACAACACACTCATTCACATATGAGTAGAAGTGACAAAATTGTTTTACAAGTCCCAGCGTCACATACCTATGCGCACACCACTCATGTCTAGTGACATTTCCAGAAGTGAATTTTGGCTTCATTCACCCTCACGCAGTATTCCAAAAATGTTATGTTTGATCGTACTTGTCTAACAAAGGTATAAAACATGATCGTGAAGTCATGAATGGAGTTTGGTCTCACTCAACTCACTGCCACCCAGTCATTTCTGACCCAGCAACTCTTTAGGACAGAGTAGAACTGTCCCTGGGAGAGTCTGAGACGGCTAGTTCTTTATGGGAACAGGAAGACTTGTCTTTCTTTTGTGGAACAGCTGGTAGTGTGAACTACCACTGGCCTTGTACTTAACAGCTCAGCGTGTAACTGCTACACCCCCGGGCCTCCTTAGAGAGGTTCATGTAGTGTATCCCTTAATCAGAAATGATCAATCGAAAACTTGTGTTTGCTCAGG